TTTTTTATTTAAAAAGATAGTATAAATTATCTTTTCTGTATATGAGAAAATATATGTGTCAGTGCAGACGTGTATGGGTGTAGGTACATGTGAGTGTACACACATGTGAGGCCAGAGGTCATTCCTCAGAATCCCACTATCCAGTTTTTTGAGAAAGTCTCTTAGTGGACCCTGGCTTTCCAATTTCACTATGCTGCCTGGCCAGTGAGCTCCCAGCTCTACCTGCTAGCCTCTGCAGCACGAAGATTAGAAGTATGTGCCAACCACTGTGCCTGGCATTTTACATGGGCAAGGGGATCAAAGCCCTCGTGCTTGTACAAGAAATATTTTGCAAACTGAGCCTTCTCCCCAGCATGACTCGGACAGGAGAGGATCTGGTTGAATTTCCTGGTGTTCATCTGTCTAGGTTGTAAGTTATTTCTTCCTGAATAAACATCTATTCGGCCTATTTGTTTATCCTGATCCTTATTTACCGCAATAACTGATTTAAAGTAGAAAGGTAACTATGAGCAAGTATATATGGAAGTTTTAAATTATCCGGAAAAAAAAAAGAAATTGAATTATACACTTGATAAATCCAGCAAAGGAATGGGAAACAATAAATACTGTAACAAATATAATTAATCATAAGGACATATATTGGAATTAAGCCAAAATACAATTTTTCACATCAGATATAAGTTTTTGGGGGTTGTTTTTGGTTTTGGGGGGTTGGGGGGGGTTGGTTTGTTTGTTTGTTTTTGTTTCTTCAAGACCAGGTTTCTCTGTATTTTGGAAGCTGTGCTAGTGCTAGCTCTTGTAAACCAGGCTGGTCTCAAACTCAGAGATCCAAGTGCCTCTGCCTCCCGAGTGGAGGGATTAAATGCATAAGCCACCACTGCCCAGCTCAAATATAAGTTTTTTTTATCTCCTATAAAATATCAAATTCATATTTTAAAAAATGTTAAGTACATTTAAGCTATTTATAAGAAATACTAGTAAAATGAACTGTAGATTTGGTGGGAGCAGACTCAATCTGGTGTTTTGGCTATTTGGTGTATGGTAAAATTTACAATAGCAAAACTTGGGGAGGCAGCTCTGTGGTAGAGTGCTTACCCAGTATGCATCAGACCCAAGGTTTGATCCCAAGCAGAAGAGGAACACTGGGGAGAAAGCAAGCCCTCCCAAATATATACCTCCCGGGTATATATGAAGATGCTTGTGTATAATCCCAGCACTCAGGAGGCTGAGGCAGGAGGATCATGAATTCAAGGGCAGTCTGAGCTTACATAGCAAGTTCCTGTCCCAGTTACTAGCTAGCCCTGCACTCAATCCTCAGGACCACTGATTTCCCAACTGTTCCCTTTTTTTCTTGAAGCTACTTCCCAATCTCCTTCATAACAAGATTTGAATCCAACACCCTTGAACTAGTAGAAGTAGCTTTGAAAAAGACATCTTGTAGAATGCCCTCCATTTTATTGTTAGTACCTTTGCTTTTCCTGTTAATAACTCTTCCTTGGGCTAGAGAGGTAGCTTGGCAGAAAACCACTTGTTTAGCATATTCAAGGTTCTAGATTCAGTTCCCAGTAGTGGCAAAATATTCCTTCTCTTTGGGGTTTAAAACTTAGATAAAATCATTTTGTTTTTCTTTTCCTTTTCTTTTTTCTTTTCTTTTTCTTTTTTAAGAAAAAGTACACATTGGCCAGGCACATACCTTTAGTTCCAGCACTGGGGGCGGGGGGCAGAGGCAGGACGATCTCTGTGAGTTCAAGGCCAGCCTGGTCTAAAGAGCTAGTTCCAGGACAGGATCCAAAAGCAATACAGAGAAACCATGTCTAAAAAAAGAAAAGAAAAAAGAAATTAAGAAGAAAAGTACACAGCATTTCTCAACATGTTAATGCTATTCACATTAAGTGCTTGTTTTTGTTTTAATGGTGTGTCTGGCAGCCCAGACTGGCCTCCACCTTGATATGTGTGACAGATGAGGGAGGCCCTGGGGTCTACAAGCCACCTGAGTGGTAGACACAAGAAAGGGCACGGGGTGGCCATTTCCTGACTCAGACACAAAAGGCAGCTTCGTCATCACACCATTACTATGGTTGACTCAGCCTTGCGGCTTTGGTGGCTGCTAAAACTGAATCCTCAGTCAGCCTTCTTTTAAGATAAATTAAAAAAAAAAATCACTGGAAATGTGAGTCTGGTGATGAAGTTACAGCTTCTTTGGCTTTGACAGGTAAAGCTAGGTTGTGGGGAGCTCCCTTGGGCCACTTTGGAAAATCGAGATGAAACACTCAGATATTCATAAAATTCATTATTAGATTCTAGACTGAAACATTAGCAAATAGCATGAGATTTAATTGTTCTTAAGTAGGTATGACCAATCCTGTTTTTCCTAAGTCTTGGGGATATGCTATTGCTTTATGAAATTGCATGCAACTGTGCATGACCAAGTCATTGTGCTAGTTAGGATTTGGAGTAAGCTTGGGTTTCAGGATAAAATAAAAACAGTAAATTCTAAAGACTACACAACAGAGGCTCTCAATATATTTAGGTATTATCCTGTTGAAAATTCAGCTTAAGAGTTTTCCTTGAAGGAAATAGAAACAAACAAACAAAAATGCCAGTAGTTGACAGTAATTGGTATTGTAGACATAATTGTTTTCTTCAATTCTCATGTAGTTATTGAGAATCTGAACTTAGATCTTTTTTAATCTTCAAAATTTTATATTTCATGTCATCAGAAATGATTTTTTTTTCTTCTTGAATACACACACACACACACACACACAATCAGAACGTGGGGGAGAGAAGTGAACACAAGCCTAGTTTTATGTAAAAATAATTTTACTTGAATTTCCACCTTGAAAAAGCAGGGTCATAAAGTCATACAATGATAAAAAATAATGGAACAAGCCAGGCAATGGTGGCACATGCCTTTAATCCTAGCACTAGAGAGGCAGAGACAGGCAGATCTCTGATTTCATGGCCAGCCTACTTCCAGGACAGCCACCGTTATACAAAGAAACCCTGTCTCAAAAACAAAAAACAAAAGTGAATAAATAAATGAACAAGTAGTTTATTTTTAGTTTCAGAAACTGTATACAGTTTCCAGACTCTAATCTTATGTTAATAAGTATATAAAACTGTGTCTTTTGTTGTAATTTTTCTTTTTCATATGTTTAGTTATCTGCAAATAGCTTAGGAGGCATTTCCAATTCTAATTTCAGTTTTTAATTGTATTTATTTGTTTTCTGTGAGTTTCTGTGCACTGTATCTGTGTAGGAGCCAGGAGAGGGCATTGGAAGTGGGGTTACAGTTAGTTGTGATCTGTCATGTAGGTGCTGGGAACTGAACCTGGGTCCTCTACAAGCACATTAAGTGCTCTTAACCACTGAGCCATCTCTCTAGGACCCTAATTTAATTTCTTACAATGTAGATGTGCACTTAATTAATGCTTTGGAGGAGGGGGAGTTAATAGAAAATTAAAATGGCTCTTCCTTAAAAAAACAATGTGGTGAATAGAAATATCCATAGAACAATTAAAAAGAATTCCAATAATAAACAGGCTGTCTACAATATTTGAGTCTGTACACACACAGTGAACATTAGAAATAAGGGAATAGATGTTTGTCAGAGTGCAATTGGTTTGAAATATTTCAATAACAGTATAATGGGAAACATTGTGGCAATAAATTTAAGATCTAAGTAAAATAGATGCTTTTCTCACAAATGGCCAGTTACTAAAATTTTATCCAGAAATGTTACAAATTCCAAAAGTTGAATAAAAACTGATTGCATATGAAATCTTGAATTTTATGAAATGTATCATTAGTGCCACAGCTTGATAACGAAGTCACTTTGAGTATATACTTTATAGAAAGATCTTGTGTGGTGCTCAGCTGCAGTGAGTTCATGACTGAGTTGATGATGTCATGTCCAGGAAACATAGTTTTCCCCAATTCTTCCCCAGCTTCTGTCTCTTATAATCTCTTTGCCCCCTCTTCCATGAGCTTTGGGGTGGGTGAGCCAATATAGGTATTTCATTTAGGATGTCCACAGTTACTTAATCTGTACTGCACAGTTATTTTTAAACAGGAAGATGCACATATATATATAATATATGTGTATATATGTATGTATTTATATATACATATATGTGTGTGTGTGTGTGTGTCAGTATTGCAAATAGAAGTGTGTGTGTGCACGTATGTTCAAACAACAAGCATAGGGATATTTGTTTACAGCAGTGCAACAAATTGTTGATGTTGATTATCTCTAGGAGTATATGAGTATAAGACTTTATTTTTACATTATACCTGTCTATGGTTTAAAAGTTGAATATGATCAAGGCATGATGGCTTGTGCCTATAATTCCTGATACTCAGAAAGCTGAGGAAGGAATATTACAAATTCAAGGCCACCTGGGAAATTTAGCAAGATCTTGCCTGGGTGTACCGTAAAAAGGTACAGGGGTGCAATTCCATGGTAAAGTGCTTGCCTGGGTTCAATCTCTAGTGCTGGGGGAAAAAATGATTACAATGAGCTGATATCTCTTCTGTGCTAAATATAATTATAGCCAAAATGTTTGTGGAAGTATTGTTTAGAGTATATTATCTAAGCAACTCTGATAAAAAGTAAATCAATTTGTTATATAACTACTGATGGAAGGTTATTCACATGTCAAGAAAAGAATCCTGCATGAAAACTCATAGGGGAATATCCAAGCCAGCCTCTGTGGTTTGAGTTACTGCTTTTATTCGTTGGAGACTCTATATCTAGAAGCCAGGTCAAGTTGTCCTTCGCTGTGGCAAGTAGGGACTGGGAAGTTAAATTGGACACTGCCGTTTATTTAATACATATTGGGTCCTGTGGCTTATCCTCTGTCACCCTCTTTATTCAGTCCTTCATTTGCACCCCTTCCTGAAGTCTTACTACTCAACCCTGGAGCCACATCTGATCGTCCGGGGGAACAGGGAGTGAGGCTATCACTTAATATTGACCAGTGATCTCTTTTCTCACAGGAACCTGGGGGGACAAAAGCAGTGTCAATGATGAATAGGCCACCAGTCGCTACCAACTACAGATGACTTGCCGTTTTATTTACAAAGGTAAGGAAATGTATTCTGTATCCCTATTCCTGACAGATGCTCGATAGAGCACTTAGTTTTTCTAACTGTATCATGACATTTAACGTTGACCATATCAAATTTCAGACCAGCCTCAAGCAAACAGGACACAGAAACTTTTGAATGTCTGTCTGTATGTGGAGGGACAAAGCATGGCAGGGGAGGAAAATGCCATGAATTATGATGCATGGCTAACTTTTAATCACTTTAGAATTCTTAATTTTAAGCAGATACTCTACAGCAAATATGAAAAAAAAAAAAAAGAATGCTGAATTCATTTGCAGTCCTCTTTGGGTAGATCACAAGTACTTCTCAGACTATCTTCCCTTCGCCCTTTTATAGAAATAGGATGACTTCTATGCTTGGCTTACACACTTGCAAGTACATTTTGTACCCAGTGCAGAAACAGAACAAGCCTAAGTGAGGGCAGAGGGTAACCCCACTGTGCCCAGTTTAATAGTCCTTTGTACTTGGCTGCTGTGGCCCTTAGTGGTGTCATCTTTGGGAGGTCTGATGTCTTCAGGGAAGACTGACCTCTGGACATGCCTGTGGAAGATCATCTTGATTGCAGAGACAGAGGTGGAAGACAGGCCACCGTGGGTGAGGGTTTTTGTGTTCCCTGAGCAATGATTCTGGGCTGTATAAAAGAGAGTAAGTAGAGAACAGGCAAGGAGATCATCATCGCTTTCCCTGCTTGCCAGAGACATAATATGAGCATCCGCTTCAGGCTCCTGGGCTTCGATTTCCCCACAGTGATGAACTGTACTTTGAACTGAAGTAAGATCGTTCTCTCTTAAGTGGGGTTGGTCATCGTGTTCTTCTATCACAATAGCAGGGAGAGAAAACAGCAAGAGCTTTGAACTCAGTTGATCCTTTAGGGGAATGTCAGTAAATAATGACCAGTGATTTCATTTCTGACCACCCAGGGAGGGGGCCAGAAGCACTCCCAACAATGAATAGGATAACCATCACTACTGTGCCCCCCCTTACCTGTTTTGTGCTTCTCAAAAGGAATTTAAAGGAACTGAGTAAACTGGCATAGTTTCCACCTCCTCTTCCCTACTGTCAAGTCAGGAGTGATTGACAAAGTAAAGAAATAATACTTTGAGACTACCTGTTCACTGCCCTTCACTCATGTCAATGAGTTCATTTCCCGGAGGTTGTTTCTCAACTCCCCACAGAGTGGCTGTGGAAGAGTCTGAGAAGTACAGCTACTCACATGGCATGCTGCAGGGAGGTCTTTCAACTCTTTGCTCTGGGTTGGCTTTTTATCCTGAGCTTGTATTACTAAGTCTTTCAAGCATTTTAATCTTCCTAGCATTTTATTCAGAACCCATCAAAGTACTATTCTAGGAAAAGAAAATCCTCTTTAAACAAATAAAACAGACATTTTGTGGAAGAGGGGTCTTTGTAGATTCCCGGTTCTAATACGAACAGATTGAATGGAGTCCCTCTGAGAATAAAAAGGGTAAGAGAGAGGTTGATTGTGGGAGCAGTAGACCTAGTGAGGTGAGTTCATCTAAGTCCGTATCTTCATTCTCCTGAATGGCCTTAGTCATGTTGGACACCCACCATCAGGGGTGAACTTAGTTATTTAGTTCAGGTACAGAGACTTGGCTGGCTAATTCTTTCATGCACAAACACTGAACTTATTAAAATCCCAGTATTCAAAGGCTTGTAAGAAAGTCAGATCTATTTCTTGATGGAGTATTAAATGCCCTTGGTGTAATTTAAGATCCTGGAATATTCTTGGAGGCAATGGTAACTAGCAAAGGGTTCCAAACTGGACAGTGAGCAGAGAGCGAGAGACTTTGGAGCATTCAATCCTAGATAATATGCCATCATCAAACCTCTCCCCTCAAGGCTCAGGGAGCTAAATGAAAGAAGAGGCAGAAAGATAGTAAGAGCCAGGGGTGGTGGATGACTCCAAGAAAATAGCATCTTCCAGACCCAAGAGGACTGGAACAAATCTGAACTCACAGAGACTCTGAGAGCACATATAAGACCTCCATTGGTTCAAACCAGACATAATCTCCACACAGAGAGGGAATAAACACAGAGTTCCACCCCTAACCAAGAAGCTGTTTGCAGTTGATTCCTGCCATGAAACTAAATATCAGTTTTCTCTAATGAAGTTTCACTGAATATGTCAACCACACTCCTGAGTAGGTCCCAAGCCCAGGAGTAATTGACCAACACAAAGCAGATTTCATGTTTGTTTTGATATTCTTTTTTATTATTTGCTTGTCTGTTTTAATTTGTGTTGTTGTTTGTCCTCTTTTCTTTTGAGGGGGATAGACATAAAGTTAGATGAGTAGGGAGGTAAGACAGATCTGGGCGGAGTTAGCAGAAGGGAAAAATATGACCAAAATATATGTGAATCTTTTTTAATAATTTAAGAAAGATACTGAAGTATAGTTGCTCTCTGATGATATAGGTAACCATGTTTATCACAGAAGTAACTGGCTTCAATTTTTTAATGAATTTGAAGTCAAATATGAATGCCTATTAAAAAGTGATTAAAATACATGTTTGAGTATCTAATGTCTATCAGTTAGAAAAATATTTTATTTTAAATGCATTTGAAAAACTCACAAGTTAATAGTTTTGCATATGTAGAACTAAAAGCTCTCTGTCAAAATTTTAAAACAGATTAAAAGTCATGTAGCATCCCTGATAATGACATTGATGACTAACTTATCCACCATCATAGAGCCCTCATCCAATAGCTGATGCAAACAGAACCAGATGCCCACAACTAAACACTAAGCCAAACTGGAATCCAGATGCAGAGAGGGAGGACAAGACCAGGCTACAGAAATATACAGAGACAGCTGAACTGAACAAGGAGGAGCTAATGGGCCCCCAGACTGATAGCTGGGAATCCAGCATGGGACTGAGTTAGAAGGCCTGGGAAGTCTAAGGGACCTCTGACAGTGGAACCAGGATGTATCCCTGGTGCACAGAAGGACTTTGGGAACACATTCCCCATGTAGGGATACTCCCTTATCCTAGAGGCAGGAGGGAAGGCCTAGTCCCTATTCCAAATGCCTTGACAGATTTAGATGGCTCCTTCTGGAAGGCATCATCCTATATGCTGAGTAAGGGGGGGAAATGGGAGGGGAGGGTGGTTGGGGGACATGGGAGAGTGGCAGAGAGGGAGAGAGGGAGGTAAGGAGAGAGGAAAGAGAGATCAGTATGTAAAATAAAAATAAAATGTCATGTAGAAGCATGGAAAAATACTAATAATATGCTTAGTAATAAAATAATAGTCCCAAAACGTAGAATTAAAAGGGAAATTACTAATACTATCAACAATTGTAGGTTTAAAAACCAATAATTAAAATACTAAGACCCTAGTAGATAAATTAGGAAAAATATGGGAAACTCAAAAGAGAACACACAGAGAGCTAACAATGGTATGGAGAAACTTTAATCTTCACTAGTCGTTTTCAAAAATGAAAATTAAAATGAAGAGAGACCCATCAAATTATCAAAGATATCTAAAATAGAGTAGTCATTATTGCTCAATAAGACAAGTTCCCACTTGCTACAGATAGGGCTATGAGTGGGTATATACTTCTTGGAAGACAATTTACTAGAATACTATTAAGAATTTTAAAGTGTTAATACTCTGATATGGTTTAATCATTCTCAAAATTGAATCCAAGATAACATTTATATTGGACAAAAACATAAATAAGCACAGATAATTACTGTATTATTTGCAGAAGCAAAAATTTCAAGCCACCTCAACTGTCCATCAATATTAGCACTATTAACTAAAGTACTGATAACACAATTGGATTCACACAGTGGTGTCTTTTTGTATTTAAAAGAGACTATTCATTTCCCAGGGAGGACTTTTTTAATCATAAAGAAGACACATGTTTATTATATCAGTGTTCACTGAAAACACCAAGATGGATACTATCATTTTTCATATGAAAAAGCATATGTCAAAAGGAAGAGACAACTGTGCTAAGATGTGAATCATGGGACTGCTTATGGAAAGTAGTATTAAAAGTGGCATTCTGTGTGTTCTGATTCATAATTTTGGTACTTCCCAGATATGTTTACAGTGAGCTCTTACAACCTAAAGCACAAAAATTTTTAAATAGCTTTTAACAAGAAATCTATCCATATGAAAAGGGTTTAGGCTTCCTTAGACTTACACAGTTAAGTATACTCCAAATAAGTACTCTTGGATTTTCTTTTTTCTCTGTCTTTCTTTGAAACAATGGCAGTAACAACAACGCAATATGTAAAATATATTTTTCTTTAGCAGCATTATTATGTTACATTGAAAGAATAGCATTCAGATTTCAAATGGAAATATTTCTCCTTTGTAGATGTCGTCAGCTGCTGAAAATGGAGATACAGTTCCTGGAAAACAAAACGAAGAAAAAACCTACAAAAAGGTGAGTGTTTTACTGTCTTCAGGAAGTAGGAACAGTCTTCTACTGTTTGCCGGACTGACAGTGGTAGGCCTTTTCTTCCTCCAAAGCCATTGTGTACCATCTTACTTTCTCTTGCTGCTCTACTGAATTAGCAAAACTTTGGTGGCTTAAATGACATAGTTGTAAAGGTCAGATGTGCACTGAGCTGCATTCCTTCCAGAACTATTAGGGGACAATTTGAGTCCTTTTTCTATCCAGTTACTAGATGTTGCCCATGTACCCAGGATCACATCTTCCTTCTATCTCAATGCCAGAAGTGACTGGAGGAATCTTTATTGGGCTGTGTCTTTCTAATACTATGAAGGACCAGTGAATTGCACCATGCTCTCTAGATAATGCAAAATAGTTTTTTTTCTATTTCAAAGTTAGTTGATACACAATCTTAATGTTCACTAGCGCAACCCCTTCATTGCCACATAACAAGGTATATTCATAGGGTTGAAGGATTTGGCCATGGCTATCTTTGAGGGACATCTTTCTGTATACCCCCGTTGCCATCTGAACATATCTGGGAAGATAGTTATTTTTCTGCCTCTCTTATTACACATAGGAAGAAGACTCTCAGTAGCATGTGATATTCTATGTCTAGCATATGAGTCCTCTGACTCACTGCCAAATGCAAGGACTGTCTGTCTTTAACTTGGGGGGGGGGGGGAAGGTATAAGTGTGAATTGCTGTCACTCCATGAATTCTTTAAATCTTCTAAGATCTCGTGTCCATTTCCCACAGATCTTTTTGTAGACTTCCAAGTATATCTTACCACTCTTTGAATTTGATAAATTCTTGACTCTCATCAATCAAGCTATGATTAATTGTGTAAAACATGGCCCTGGGTACCACTGTTCCCGCCTGTAGGTTAACTTTACACAGTACAGCTTTTAAAAGTATCTGCTCTCCTGCTCCCTGGGATTAGGAGGTTTGTGTATTGGAGATTTGCTATATCTTTTTGTTTGTTTGTTTTTTTGTTTTTTGTTTCTACTTGCTATTCTTTGATGGACAGCTAGTGTGTGTCATGGTGTGACGATTCTCAAGATGTCTGCTTTGATCATGTATTGAGGTCATTCATCTGTGTGAAACATTGGTTTCCTAAGTGCTCTTTTCTTATAGATCTTTTGAACTCTTCTTTTCTATTCAGAGAAGCCTAGACATATAAACATGCCCATTGCCATCTAAAGTGATGATGAGGCCTGTAGTGAGATATCCACCCTACTCACACCTGTAGCACTGAGAATGTCTGTTTGGGATGGTCACAGGTGTGGACATGATGGAGAATGGGTTTAAGGTCTGGGGTCGGGACAGGTGGCCCTCCCTTGTTTCTGGTCAGGTCACAGAGGACAGTCAGAATGGATCCTTGGAGAGGGAACTTGCGGTAGTCGCCTGCTTCTTGTGTAAGTGACTTATCCCCGAAAAAAATCTCACTTAACCTGTACTGAGTCTAGTGAATCTTGAGTCCCCATGCAATAGAGGTCAGGGAAAAGATGCTTCCAGCTGAAGACTAAAGAATTCCAGATGTCAGATCTTAGAAACTTTCTGTATCCAGCCAATGATACTCATACCAGTTCTTAAATTTTGACATGAGAGGAACATCAGTTGTTTCTTCTTTCCCTGGTAAGCATGGGGACAGTGTAGAGCCACTCAAATTGACAGCTTGTCATAATTTTAGGTCAGCATCAGTATCCTCAGTCACATCAAAGTACACCAAGATTCTGCACTGAAATCCTTTGTAATACAAACATAATAGAAAGAATATGATCACAACGTTTCAGTATTTGCCAAGTGTGCCCTGGTCAAAATGTAGCAATGCTGGGAAGATTCTACAATTAATGGATACTTTGACTCAGCAATATTGAGAAAGTGATAAAAATTAAAAGCTCAGGTGCTATAATTTCTATAAATAGAGACAAAAGAAGATTAAGAAGACCTGTGTGCACACTCATGTGTTCATGCAAATACACCAAGAACTTTGTAAGAAACACAATAGTATAGGAATCTTTTCATGGTCTAAACAGTAAAAGGAATATTATTAAAAGGAATTACTCTAGTAGTGAGAAGGTTCAGAGTTAATGAATATTGACTCAAAGGAATGGGGGAGAAACTAGTGTTCTTTCCAGCAATATGGAGAAGTGCAGATTAAATCCTGCACAGACTATAGTCCCAAAGAATGACAAATTTGCTGCACTCCCTTCTTCTCCACCAGCACAGTGCATGAGTTGCCCCTGTAGCTTCATTTTTTGCCCATGACCTCCATGAAAACATAAAAGTAATATTGTGTAATCATATAGGAATATTGGAAATATTGCCCACCCCCAGCCCCGGCTCTGTGAGTACATCAAGGCTACCTTGCATTTCGCTAGATGTTTCCTTGTTCTGAAGCTCTTTGATTATGCAGTGTGCTTCTGTTTAGTAAAGAGCCTTAGTGAGCCATTGTTTCTTCTGACTGAAAATAATCTAGGTTAAGGACATTCCCCTCCCCTGTGCACTGTTGGGAACAAGAAAGACCCGAAAGAGTCTATGGCTAAGAGAAATGAGATGTGAAAACAACTGTAGCGCTCAGTAGCCTCTGATGAGGTGGTGAGAGGAGTCGCTGGGGACTAGTGTTAACCAGTTGTCTTGGGCTTTCAGTATGGGGCTCCAGATTAGAATGACAGCAGCCAGCAACATGCAGTTTCGTCAGTGTAATGGTTTCCACGTGGATTAAGGAACAGCCCGTGCTCATGAACTCCATGCTCTACCAGTGTCTTGATCATTTGCACGTCATTGTTGAGCCGGCTGCTTTTGGTTCTTCCAATTGCTCATTTCTCTAATCTATTATCAATTCTTGGCAAGCCCAGGAGGAACTAAGCATAACCCATAAGGTTAATGTCTTCAGCTAAGAGCTAAAACAAGTTGGGTTTTAGCTGTGTAAAACAAACATGTTGTCCATTAAGGCAGGCATTAATGGCTGCCTCTCTGTGTTTACAGAGTCTAGGATTTCCACTCTCTGTTAATTTGCTGAATGCCTTCCACTAGAGTTGTAAACACAAAAGCCTACAGGAGCCAGGCAGGAAACAGGTTTTGCTATAGCTATGGGAACTATCTTTAAGGACACATGCCTTCCTTCGGGGATGGGTGGCACTCAGCTACTGCTAACCCAGCTGTGCATGAATGTATACCCCAGCCTGTCATATATACTCTGATTTCTTTTAGGAAAACAGACATACAAATTTTGATGTAACGTATCCCAAGTTTTTAATCATCAACTAATTCAGAAGTTTGTTTTTAAGTTCACTCTAAGCAAAACAACATGCCAATGGGATCTTTCTCACCTACAAACAACAGCCAGTTGGCAAACTCTTGACATATTCTTGATCTAAGAAAATGAAGGGGGAAAGAAAAGCAGGCTAAAAATATGTCTTTAAGAACTTGTCTCTGCTTCCCAATACAGTTTGATTTATTTGGGAGGAAAATATAATCCCATGTGAAAGAAAAACTAAACAATGATCCAAACCTGTATTAAATGCCAAGACAAGGGGCAGGCATTTTGTTTAGTTATCACAAGTCCCCAGGAGCTGGAAGATCATTGCTGTCTCCTGGGTTCTCTGCAACTTCCAAGCTGGGAGAGCATTTTGCTGGGGCAAAAATTTCCTAATGTCACCAGCATGGTGGTTCATGCCTTTAGTTAGTCCCAGCACTCCAGAGGCAAAGGCAGGCAGATCTACATTTGAAACCAAACTGATCTACAAAGCAAGTTCCAGGATAGCCAAGGCTACATAGAGAAACTGTCTCAAAACAAAAACAAAAACAAAACAAACAAACAAACCCAAAAAACAACAATCAAAAAAAAAAAAGAAAGAAAAAAAGAAAAGAAAACTAATGTCTTCTGCCTTCTGTCATTCCTTTAGTGGCTGTGCCTTCTAATTTTCTTACTTGTCTATGTGATGGGACATCTAATGAGCATGACACACACTTGGATGAGGGTGGCTTGCTAGAGGGACAGGAAAAGCTAACTTGAGCTCAGCCCAGTGTCCATATCTGGGACACATAGCAGGTAGTAGTGTGGGTTTGACTCTGAGTCCAACTTAGGTGCCGGTATAAAGGGTTTGAACCTTATGTTTTAGGCCAGTGTTATCCAGTAGAACTTTCTGGAAGAGTGGAAGTGTTCAATAATCTGCACTAAGCTCATGGCCATAAGATTCATGAGTTTGTTAAGTGGCAAGCATGTCTGAGGAACTGCGTTTTCATCGATGTAATTGTTAGTATTGAGTTTTAGAAACACTTTTATTGACCCCGACAATTTTATGCATGTATATAATGTATTTTGATTGTATTAACTGCTCTCATTCCATTTCCTTACCCCTTTCTTGCTCCATCTGGAACCTTTCTTCCCAACACATCTCTTTGTTAATTTCATGTCTTTAAAAAAATTAATGTTTTGAGTTTAGTTAGGATTGCCTGAATGAGCACAGGTGTGGGGGTTTTACTGCATCATGGGAGACTTTCCAGTGGCCACACTATTGACAAAAAGTCACTTGTCTCTCCCCCAGCCACCATTAACTACCAATAGCTAGCTCCTGGAGAGGCCGAAGTCTCATGTGCCTTCCCCAATACATGTTGGAATCTTGACAGTTCTGCCTTCTTTTTCCTTCTCTCTGAGACTTGGGGACAGGAGCAGGGTGTGTGTGTGTGTGTGTGTGTGTGTGTGTGTGTGAGCACACACACCCATGACATAGATATCCCATTTAGGACCAAGCAGCCAACCATCATTTAATCTCAGTGCTTTGGCAAGTTATGAGTCTCTGCATTGATTACTCCCCACTGTAAAAAGAAGCTTCTCTTTGAGGGCAGCACTAATGGATGCATATAAATAAAAGTACTGAGAAGGAGGTTTGACAACTATTCATTTATTGTAACAACAGTATAGGTTCCCTTTGGGGCTTATAATCTCCTGGGCCATGGGCTTTTGGTGACATTTACAGTACAGG